TTTAATATTTCATATGCAATACAATGAGAATTTCATGAAGTCTATTGAAAACGTCTTCGATCATTCTTCCTTTCTCCCAGTCTTCTCTTTTTCTTCCTTTTCTCTTGATATTATTCGATATCAGTAATTGGTTATTGCGAGGAAATATAATAATTTAAGAGAGTAGCGAAAAGTGACCAAGTGATCAACAAATCTGTTAAGGGATAGGCTGTCTACAAAGAGTGATAAGAATAATTTTATTTCTTTCCGCATTCATCGTAGGCATGCATTTAAGATACTTTGGGACATAAATGCAACACGGTGCAAATTACTGTCTGATATCTTTAACAACATGTAAATTTATAAATGTACAATGTGTACAGAACTTCTCAAATTACGTATATATATATATATATATGATGGTATGCTTAGTAATCATTAAAATAAGCTTCTGTTTAAAAAAAATTGGAAATAAAAACATGTACACAAAAGGAAAACAGTAAATTTGATTTGAAAATGGAAGAAACTGTTTTTTGAATTCTGATAAAGCCAATAATAATCAACTGATCCTAAAAACTGATATCATCTCGATTACATTTCTAAAGTAAAAATAGTATTTCTAGCAAACTAAATAAACTAAGTTTGTTTTAATTGCATTTCCAACAGAAACAGTAATAAGCCAAGAACGGAAGAAATCGGAAAATGGTTTAAATGAGAAAATAACCATTTTAATTCTGAGTAAATTTCAAGTGAGACAAAATTTGAGCAATAATATTATAGTGATAATTAAGAATTCTACTACGTTATTTGGATTTAAAAATTAGTTAGCGGAATTAGGATACAAAAAGAAAAAAGAGAAAAGCTCTATCCGAGATTTTAGTAAGGGAAAGAAAAAATATTCCGGGGTAAATTATCCGGAAGGGATGCCAGAAAGCGTTATCAATATGTTTGCATTCAATGAATGATATTTTATTTGATGTTAACTTATCATTGAGGAAACGATTTCAATGATATTACAACAGACAGAACCATCCATTAATTAACAAAGTGTAAAGGGAAAAAATTTCAAAAAGTCAGTGTTGCTAAATAAACAACATCAAACGGTCAAAAAAATTTAATCTTGGACTAGGCATTAAATTCGTAACAAAAAAAACAAAAGTTCAAAAGTTCAATTTTCAGTTTAAGAGCAATATGTTACACGAAGGATATTTCATGAAGCAAAGTAGTGGAATTAGCTTATTGACATATCCTATTCAAAACCAGTTTTAAGCAATTATTTCTCAAATCGGACATTTTCTATTCAATCAACAATTAAATGCTGAAAGCATAAAAGATGATAGGCAACACTACTGAAGGAAAAGGTTTTAATGGAGAATGGATAGGTCAAGGTTGATAGAATGAAGGAAATGATCTCGGAAAATGAAATTTTATTTTGAAACATAAAGCACTTCTTGTTTAAATGAGAAGTAATAAAAGAAGACAATGTAAAATATTATCTTTTCCTTTCTGAAAAATAAACAAATCCATCTCAATCACTGTCATCATCATCACCACCATCATCATCACCATCATCACATTATCTCCATCACCTCCATCTGCACCTCCATCTCAACCCTAACTGAGTATCACCAAGCAATGAATTATTGCCATTCTGCACAATTTATTTTATTCAAATTGGAATTGAAATGGACCTCTGCTTGTTAATAATTTAACACGAAAGACATAATTTGTCACCCTCTTTCATTAACATCCTACATGTGTCTGTGTCACATGCATATATTTGTTATGTGCATGTGCGTATGCGTATGTGTGTGTTGTATGTGTGTGTATGTGTATGTGTGTGTATGTGTGTG